GCTGCGCTGCTGCTGCTGCTGCTGCTGCTGCTGCTGCTGCTGCTGCAGCCTAGGGACAACGCATGTGCCTGGTTCGAGGCTAATGTTCCCTTAATTCTTTTTGTTTTTGCAGCATTTTGCAATTAGAAGTGAACTAAATCCAGCGCTCTCCCGGAAAGCTCTGCTGTGCGCCCACCGCAGCTCGCTGTGGCAGCAGCAGCAGCAGCAGCAGCAGCTGCTGCTGCTGCTGTTGCTACTGCAATGCTGCAGCAGCAGCAGCGACAGCACCGCGACGGCAGCAGCTTCTGCTGCCGGCGAATTGCTGCCTGTCTGAATTTGATTTTAATTAGTGTCTCATTTTATTTCTAAACATGGAGCCCGCGCGGTAGCCGTATGAGTAGTTTACCGTGCAGCAGCAGCAGCAGCAGCAGCAGCAGCAGCAGCCGCTGCTGCTGCTGCCGCTGCAGAACAGCATCGACGGCAGAGCACTGAGTAGAGCCCCCGCCAAACGACTCAATTCGCATTTGCTGCAATTAGGCCAAACGACACCGCAGTTGGGAGTTTATAGACAGTGTGGCAGCAGCAGCAGCAGCAGCAGCAGCAGCGGCAGCGGCAGGAGCACAGGCAGCAGCGGCGGGGTGAGCAGCAGCAGCAGCAGCAGCAGCAGCAGCAGGCGTCGTTTATTTAGCTCCCGGGGCTAGTAGAGTTTGACTCAAGAAAATCCCAAGCGTTTGCTTCTTGCTGCTGCCGGGGTGTCTGCTGCTGCTGCAGCAGCAGCAGCAGCAGCAGCAGCAGACACCATAACCGTGGCTGCTGCTGCCCCTTGCTGCGTTTCGCTCGTGTCTTAGCAGCAGCAGTTTAATACTGCTGGCAGCTGACTGCTGCGGCACGCTGCTAGCGGTGCCGACTGTCGAGGCAGCAGCAGCAGCAGCAGCTGCTGCTGCTGCAGCCGCCGCCGCCGCCGCTGCTGCTGCTGCTGCTGCTGCTGCTGCTGGCCGGCGCGGCCAGAATGCAAAGGCGGAGGAACTTTAGCTTTGTGAGACGCCTGAGAGGCGCAGCGCAAAAACTGGCAAGTACTTGCTGCTGCAGCCACTGCAGCAGCAGCACTAGCTCCAGCAGCTGCAGCAGCAGCAGCAGCAGCAGCAGCTGCGGCCTCCCAGCGCTGCAGCAGCAGCAGCAAACGGCAACTCTGGGGCAATAGAGCACGAATTTGTAGTGCACTAAAGTCTACGCTGCCTCACGGTCTGAACAGCAGCAGAAGCAGCAGCAGAAGCAGCAGCTGCTGCTGCTGCAGTTGCTGCTGCTGCTGCTGCGCAGCACTAAACCCTTCGTGTGGGGCGAGGCGAGCGCACTCTTTGCACTTGCCTGCCTCTGCCAAATGAGAGCAGCAGCAGCAGCAGCAGCAGCCGCTAGCTGGGCTGCTGCTGCTGCAGCTGGCCAGCAGCTAGCTAGCAGCTAGCTAGCCACCTGGCTCCAGGCAGCTAGCTGGGCCGAGCTAGCTGCAGCTAGCTGAAGCTGCAGCAGCTAGCCAAGTTCGCAGCAGCTAGCGACGGCGTACATGCCTCGGGGAGGAGCTTGGCGCCTAAGCAGCAGCAGCAGCAGCAGCAGCTGCTGCTGCTGCTGCTGCTGCTGCTGCGCCTCGACTTCGCTTCCTCGTTTCGCTGCATCTCTCTAGCTGCGGCAAGCTGCGCAGCAAGCTAGCTAGCTGAACAGCTAGCTGCCCAGGCAGCCAGCAACTAAGCTAGCTAGCCAGCTAGCTAGGTAGCTAGCTAGCTAGCTAGTCAAATGGCTGGCTAGCTAGCTAGCTAGCCAAGTGGCTAGCTGGCCAGCCAAATGGCTAGCTAGCTAGCCAAGTGGCTAGTTAGCTAGCGAATAAGCTACCTAGAATGTTAGAAGCCCTATCTAGACCACCGAAGAGCCAGCTGGCTAAACAAATGGCTGGCTAGCTGGCTAGCTAGCTAGCCAGGCGGCTAGCTAGCTAGCCAAACAGCTAGCTAGCTGGCCAACTAGCCAGCCAACTGGGTAGTTTCCTAGATGGCCAGCCAAATAGCTAGCCAGTCAGTTAAATAGGTAGCTAACTAGCCAGCTAGCTAGCTGAGTAGCGATGGCTAGCTAGCTAGCTAGCCAGCTAGCTAGCCAGCTAGCTAGCTAGCTAGCTAGCCAGCTAGCTAGCTAGTTCAAGCAGCAAAGAAGAGCGCAAGGCCATCTGCTGCAAGGGTTTAGGGTTTAGGGTTTGGGTGCTGCAGCCAGTCGCTCTTGTGCACAAAGCCTTCTCCAGCGTTGCTGTTGCTGCTGCTGCTGCTGCACCCAGCAGCACTTGCTGTGCTGCTGCTGCTGCTGCTGCAGCAAGCCGCACAGGCAGCAGCAACGGCAGCTGCTGCAGCTCCTGCTGCTGCTGTTTACATATCTGCAGCAATTTTCTCAGCTAGCAGCGTCGTGCAGGCCTTGCTGCAGCAGTACTCGCTGCAGCAACAAGCGCATCTATTGCTGCTGCTGCTGCTGCTGCTGCTGCTGCTGCTGG